GATGCAGCCCAGGATACAGTTGGCCTTTTGGCCTTCTTATCCAAAGCCACAGTCGCTTTGAGGTGCAGCTGCTCCAGTGTGGCCTTGCCCACAGCCACAGTCCCTTCAGAGGTAAACCTGCTCCAGAGTGGCCTTATCCATGTCTGAAGTCTCTCCAGGGGTGTACTTGCTCTGTCGTGGGCTTATTCATGGCCACACATTTTGAGGTGCACCAGCCACTGATGCTTCAAGGTGTGCCTGCTGCAGCATGGACTTATCCTTGAGCCACAGCCCCTTCAGAGGTATACCTGCTGCAGCACAGACATAATCACAGCCACAGATGCTTCGAGATATACCACAACCTCTGGACATGTTTCTGTGAGACAGTCTCTGGGACTGCTGTGCTTCATGCCAAGGTTGGTGTATGTTAGGTATGCTCAGAAGATGCCTACCTTGTGAAGCCCCTCAGGAGATGCCTCACCTGTACATTACAGGCAGGTGCAAGGTAGGTTTCAAGATTTCCAGTGGTATAGAAATAGCAGTAGTGATGGGAAATGTAGTAGCAGAACTTTTAGATAATTTTGTCAGCAAAAACCTGATGTAGATTTTTGTGGCTGTTTCGCGTACATGTACGTGCGTAAATATAGCTTCCTGGCATTTTTGTTGCTTTTTTGAATTTGGCTGTCAGTGACTTTCTCAAAGTTATTTTGTGAACCAGCATAAAATTACAACCCAGAAATCCTGCTCTGCTACAGTCTTTCTGTAAGACATGTAAATATGTTTACAATTAAATACAGTCTTTTAATGACGTTGTTTTGTTGGAAATTAAGTAGCTGGCACCTATCTGAATTTGAAAAGAATCTCCTTTGATACTCTCCACATCTATTAAACATTTTGTCTCTATGTCATTGTCATGTGTTTATTAGTTCCTCAAGAGATTTCTCCCATAGGTTCTTTTTCCATCCCTCTGTTTTCCCAGCCCCCGTTCTCTTTTATTCTGGGTTTTGTTGCCCTCAGGAGACTAAAATCCTGCACCCTTTGCTCGTCTCATCATGCACTTCCTTCTGAAGAGACTACTTGTCTAAACGAAGCAACAGGAGTATGAAGGGCGGGGGGGGTATTATTTTGAATACAGTATTATAAATGCACACCTGTAGTTTTTATGTATTCATAGATGAATAAATTATATTTGCTTCAGATAATGATGAACAATCCATAACAAATTAGAGTTTACTCTATAGGAGGAACAGCCTTTAAATATGATCTGTATTTAAACAAAATGGGTAAGTCAGTCAACTTCTGGTCTCAAACCTCAGTTCAGCAAAATTCTTAAACACTATTGATGAAGGTGCTTAAGTACATTTTTGAGTTTTATGCAGTATGATAGAATAATTTTGATAAGTGGGGCCTTATTTGGGAGAACAGCATAACCCAGGTAGCATTTAGTCCTTGCTGTGCTTATGGCTGTTACCTTTCCTCAGTTCACTGTATTAGTATCCGTTCTTAAAAGTGTGTCCAGTCTGAATATTGGTTCATCAAAAAGAATTTCTGAATTAACCTTCCTTTTGGGGGCAAATAATTTCCAAGTGATTATGTGTTCTTTGATAATCTGGGGTTTTGTTTGGGGGGGGGTTTGGTCTTTTGTGCTAATTGTTACACATCATGCATTTAGGCAACTAGGCCATGTTTTGCTTTTTCTATCAATCATCTAAAATGGTGATACAGCTTCAACCCCCGTAACATGGATCTGAAGCTTAGCAAAACTTCAAATGCATGTTCAAAACCTCCTAGAAATATGAAAATTAACTATGTCCAAGAAATGACAGACTTTTTATTTAGAGGATGGCGAGGGAAACAAAAATGCCCAATCTCTTCTCCATCAGTGTACTTGGATTTAAAATTAATTAATACCAATGAACTGGAGACATTGTTCCTGTCTGAAAAAAGGGTTTCTTGAATCAATGTCAGCTGAAAGCTTTAGCCTTAACCAGTGTGTTTTGCTGCTACATCACACGCAAGCCTCCTTTCCCCTAACCACCAGTATGTCATCTTTGCACCAGAGGGCCAGAACCCTTTAGAACCAAAAACTGAGGACTGCCTCTAGGGAAAAGTCCATTTTTTATTTTTTCACTCATCATTTATTTACAAATACACATTATAACTTTTATATACATTGCACATTTACATGGTAGAAAAGTAAAAAACTATATATTTAAATGAATTTATATTTAACTCACCATGTTTGAAAATAAAATTACATCAGAAAAAAAGTATTATGAAAAGCAAGAAACTTGAACTGATAAAGCTTTGATATAACTTTTAGTGACACACTGATTGGGAAAACAAAACTTTGAAAGTGGTACTGCAAGACCATCTTAAAAGAAACACCTGACAAAACATTTATGCATGTTACAAAAAAACCCACAATAAAAATAAAATAAACCCTTTATTATTATTACAGTTAGCCCTGTAGATATTAACAACCTTCATAATCTGATTTGAGTCCAGAATACATATAGTACAATATATATGCCCAGCACATTGAGATCACTTCAGTACATGATGTGATCAGAAGTGAAGTGAAGTGGAAGAAGTTTCCTTAAAGATCGCCTCACTGCACCCTGGAAGTATATTTAAGTCAGTTACAATGTCTTTTGGTCAGTCAAGATTCCTTGTAAACAACAACCCAGGGATCTTTTATGTACAGAACCGGCAAGTAGAAAATCCAATAAATAAACATAACAGAAACCAACATGCAAGTTTGTTAAAGTGGAAAAGAGTTAACATTAGTGAAACAAAGAGATGAGATCATGTGGGTAAACTCTAAGGAATGGACTTTTATAGTTTACAAGAAAAAAGAAAAGCTTAGCTTTACAAGCAAGAGACCTCACAATAAATAACACTGCTCTTCCCCTAACGAATAAATTTCTTCAAAAAACGAGGTGTACAGTCAACCAGCCATTTCATGTATAAATTATAAAACATGACAAAGTATAAATAAATGTCTACCAGACTCAACTATATGTATACTTTTTTTTCTCCCCAAAATAAATAAGCATATACTTATTTACAGTATGGTCATTGATTTTGTGCCCAATGGCTGTTCCAATAGTGATGGAGTTTTTACCACTCTAGAATGGAAGATATAGGAAAGCTGTAGTCCTGGTCTTCATCTTCCTCTTCATCCTCTGGGTCTTCATTAATGGCTAGATGGGGGAATACAGGGGAGCTGTTGTTTAAATAAGGACAACAACAGCGCAGAAGCAGCTCAGTGCATGTTTTCAAAGCCCTCTGAACAGCCATAATAGAGCGTTGCATTTTATGCGACTTGTAGTGATGTTGAGATGCTCTTTGGCATCGGCTGTTATGCAATAAGGTTTTTTATACATAATCTATGAAGTCATAACTGCAGAAAGTTCTGAAGAATCAATGGCTCAGGTTTTATTGGCAGATTCCTGAAATCAAATAAAAAGCGCTCTTGTGTTCTAGGTTTAAATGCTTTGTGTCCTTCATTCAGAGTTAGTAGAGGCAACTGTGCTAAACCAGGTGCCCATGTGCTACCATTAAGCTTGTTCTTTTGGACACAGTTACAGTTTATCCAGGTGTTAATAAAGCAATCAAAGTACACGAGAGCAGACAAATTAGGAAAAAATCACTAGAATTACCCTCCTAGGGCAACCCCTTTCTGACAAAATTACTTGTCCTCAGAATAGCCCCAAAACCCCAACTTGAAAGCCAACTCGTTGTTGATCTGTTGCATTTTATCAGTAACCAAAGTGTGTGCATGATAGATACATACTTATATGGCCCTTGTACTGCATCTCGAATCTCTAAATCAAGCTTTCTTATGTTTTAAGGTGTAAGTCTTCATTACCTAGCGATTGCCTTCAGAGTTAAAAATCTCACTTACAGTTGCAAGATCCAGAGTGCTTTACTTCTAGAAGCACACCCATGGAGCAGGCTGCCTCTTTCATGGCACACTCGCTTGGGTAAGTTGTGTTATCGCTGGCACAGACTGCCTCGTCTGACTTGCTTTCAGGGCATGGTTCAGGGCATAGCTCATCACAGAGGGCGCACCAACCTCTGCCAACCTTAAAATCCCACAAGCATTTCTTCCCAGCACTGCACTGAATGTCTTCACAGGATCTGGCTTCTAAAAATATACACAGGATGCTAGAGGTAAGTGAAAAGACAAAGGAAAAAGAAAAGCAACAAACAACTCCAAACTCCCCTTCCCCCAGTGAATAGACAAAGCTCAGATGCAGTAGATGTGATACTTACTGATTTTACTAAAGCAAGTAGTCCCTTGGATACCATTGCCTGTCTATATGTGGGGGAGGAAAGATAGCTGTGCCAGCAGAGCTTGGCCCTGGGAATGCAGAATTACATTTGCCAATTGTACATGACCTTCCTGCTCCATTTGATGTCAGTGGAAATTCAGCTCCCCAAATTAGCAGTAAATGCAGAAATTGCCAACACATTCAGCATTTCTAAATAAATTATTTTTAAACTAACCCACATAGAGTAGTGGTCTGCAATATTGGAAAGGGAATTCACCTCAACCTATGTCAACTAAAAGCAGCCTGGGACTCCCCTGAATCCCCCCAGCAGTTTTGGGAAGCTTCCTTGTAACATGCTTCACTATCACTCATTTCTGGAAATCACAATACAAAACGTCAGGATGCACAGAGATTATTTTCCAATCTTCACCCACCGTCTTCAAACTTTGCAATATCTTTAAAGAGGAAAAAAGTGATCAGATGTTTCCAATTAAGTTAATGCAAGCTTTGCTAAGACAACTTGAAGACAATTGTTTCCAGGAATCCAGATCCACTGAATATTGAGAACTTGTTATGCTGTAACTATGTCATCATCTATTTAATGGCAAGTACTTCCCCTCGGGTACTAATGTCAGCACCCACAGTGATAGCAAAAGAAGCAGGATCAGGCCCTCATCCCTTTTGCAGCCTTTTCTGGGGCAAAGCTCACCCTGGCTCTCCTTTTCCTGGAGGGAAGCACAAACCCAGGCTGCTGGAAGTCTCTCTTCCTCTCCAATGCTCACTACATCCATCCATTTCCACACACAATATTCTGAAACAGCTGAGCCAGGAAGCTCCCCCCACCCTTACCCTCTGACCGAGATACCTACTGATGCATTTTCCTTCATAGGCTAATCCAATGGATCTGCCCAGTAGGCAGGTAGCTTTCCTCAGGTGGCAGGCACTGGCATAAGTTATGCCATCATTCCCGCAGAGATACTGTTCAGGGGAGGTAGGCTCTGGGCAAATTCGATTACATGTCACACAGTAGGCGTTATTAGTTTGGTCAACCACACATGTGGAGCTGCCTGGGCATAAAACATCCCTACAGGTCTCTGAAATAAAGATGGAAACACACAATGATTAATAGATCCCAGAGCCCCAGTGAGGAGTGAATGGGTGACACAATGAAACAAATCATCAGATGAGAGCCTTCAGCAGCTCTCCTCATTTAAGGGCCACTGGAGGAAACCTTCCCATCTCAGGGTAGCTGGTGGGACACAAGTGCTGCTAGACTGTGGGCAACTCTCAATCCAGCTACATCCTTGCCTGTTGAGTATGGTTAGTTACTGTCTCCCAGCATTTGGAACATCACTCTGGTTCCTGTGGGAAAGTACGTCCAACAGCTCCTCCTCCGTACACTCAGACACACACCCTTTGTCATTTGAGGGAGATCAGATTAGATTTGCAAACCTACTTTTGCATTTGCC